TTAAAACATAACAGAACAGTAAAATATAAATTCATAGTGTCTCCTTGTTAAAAACATTGTCCGGACTCATTGTCTAGTTGTTCCATTTTCCTATGTTGCTTACTCTGCATTTGCACACGCGTGTTCAAAAAGCCACATCTTAACTTTTTTCTGGAATGCTAACAGGGAGGTGGCCGATCTAATATCTATAGGGAGGGCATTCCACAGCCAAGGGGCCACCACCGAGAAGGCCCTGACACTCTTTTCCGCCAAACATACTTGTGACGAAGGCAGTAACGAGAGCAGGGGAGATGTGTTTGGACATATAAGTTGGGCCAGATTCGTTTAGGGCAGTGTTTCTCAACCTTCCAAATGCCGCGACCCCTTAATACAGTTCTTCATGTTGTGGTGACCCCCAACCAGAAAATTATTTTCATTGCTACTTCATAACTGTAATTTTGCCACTGTTATGAATCATAATATAAATATTGGATATGCAGGATGTGTTCACTGGATCATGTTTGGTACAAATACCTGATATGCCCAAGTTTGAATACTGGTGGTGTTGGGGGGATTGTTTTTGTCATTTGGGAGTAGTAGTTGCTGGGATTTATAGTTCACCTACAATTAAAGAGCATCAAAGAGCTTTCTGAACTCCAACAATGGAATTGAACCAAACTTGGCACACAGAACTCCCATGACCAACAGAAAATAGTGGAACAGTTTAGTGGGCATTGAGTTATGGAGTTGTAGTTGACCTATATCCAGAGAGCACTGTGGACTTAAACAATGATGGATCTGGACCAAACTTGGCAAGAATACTCAATATGCTCAAATGTGAACACTGGTGGAGTTTGGGGGAAAATAGACTTTGACATTAGGGAGTTTTAGTTGCAGGGACTTATAGTTCACCTACAGTCAAAGAGCATTCTGAACCCCACCAAGGATAGAATTGGGCCAAACCTCCCACACAGAACCCCCATGACCAACAGATAATACTGTGTTTTCGGATGGTCTTTGGTGACCCCTCTGACACCCCCTCGTGACCCCCCCAGGGGTCCCGACCCCCAGGTTGAGAAACACTGGTTTAGGGCTTTGTAGGCTAAACTTAGACCTTCAGAAGTTGGTATGTCTTATTTAGATCCTATGACTAGTCCATGAAGACTCAGGTTGGACAAGCTGTGCCTTAACAGATATCATTGGACTCTAATCTCCATTAGTTTGATTGTATGATTTATTGTTGGGGAAGTAATAATATTTCATATAGCTGCTATTGAGTTAGGCGGACCAGCATTCTCTCTCAGCGCAAAACACTTTCCTATGTTTCCAATTTAATGATGCCTCCAAGAAATATTAATCATTCATATGCTATAAATGTTGTTTTAAGATGCTGTCGTGAATCAAAGTAATTAATAATACTGCAACAAGGTTGCCAATCTTGTTCAATACAGGAACTCATAAAATCGGAATTGTAGTTTGCTGGATTTGCTTGAAACTTCCAGGCTTATTTTTTATGTCTGTCAAGAGAGTTGTACACCAGTCGGTTCTCTTCTTGGAAAAAAAAATGCCAATATTGCTTTGCAACAAATATATAAATGTATTTATATAACTCTGCTTTGGTTTGCTTTAATATCTTACAATTTGCTTCAAATTGAGCTGGTCATCATTTTGTGTGGGAGAGAGATTGGTGGGATGTGGGGAAGGATTTAAAAATAGTGGCTCCTCCAGCTTTTATTTCTCGAATGAGCATGTTTTCCCCTATCATTCATTCCCATTAGTGATTTGAGAAACACTTTTCATTAGTGGAGCATGATTGTATTTGTTGGTTTGGAAGGGAGAGGAGTATAAGAAAAGTGTGATAGAAACGGAGATTTGCTTTTTCACAGAGAGAAAGATTGCTTTGGAGAGAGGAAGTCTGTGTGCATCTACTGTGCCTTCTCTTTGCTTATAGATGTGTGGTGAGCCTCCAAATTTGTCTATAGGTGATCTTTGGATAGGTATTGGGTAAGGCTAAACAGAACATGTCTTAATTCACATAAAATGGAAATAACTACAGTTGGCTATACTTGATAATCTGAATAGAGTTCTGTAATCTGTATTATAAGGGGTTGTATATATGTAATGTTCATTTGTGGGATTAACGTAACTCAAAAACCATTGGGCGAATTGACACCAAATTTGGACGCAATACACCTATCAGGCCAACGAGTGAACATCACCCCTAAAACACACACACACAAAACAGCAGAACGGACTTTAAACCCCCCAAAAATAAGCCATATATACATATACACATACATTCATATACATATACACATGCACACATACATACAGACACACTCACACACACACACATACACACACATATACACATGCACATACAAATATACACATTTACAAACACATACATATACACCTATATACATAAACACATACAAACACACATATATGCATATACACAAGCACACACATATACACAATATACATATACACATGTACACATATATACAGACATACATATATATACGCAAACACACACAAATGTACACATACAGTATACACACATACATATACACCTACACACATATACATACACACATATATGCATATCCACAAGCACACACATATACACAATATACATATACACGTACAAACACAAATACACAAATATATACAAACGTATACACACATAAACACACACACACATATATACACACAAACACACTTATATACACATATACACAAATATGTACACAGACATAAACACATATATACACACACAAAACATATATACACAGACTGGGCCACAGCAACGCATGGCAGGGGAAGGCTAGTATATAGATACAGATATAGATAGCTTCATGAGCTCCATGTTTATCTTGGAAAAGTAGATTCAACAACCCACAGCCTGGCAGAATTTTGTCTTGATCCCAGCTGTGTATATCCAGGAAACATGGCTCTTCTCAAAGACCTATGCATTTAAACAAAACAGTGTTTTAAGATTTTAAGAAATGAATAGGTATCCATAACCATGTCCATGTTCTCCTGTTTACCCTAAAGCAATGCTTTAAAATTATTTTAAAAGTAAGCTGTAAGGAAGGATACCGTTGTAAACAGAAAAAACATAGTTTGCCTAGTTCATTCTGGCCAAAATGTTATTGCTGGACTTGTTGTCATGTACCTTCTTCAAGCCATCTCTCAATGGAGCATTTCTCAACTACAGGGCCCTGGGATTTTAACCTCTAAATCCTACCATGCCAATAAAATGAGTAGGGGTGTGGACCTTCTTACCACCAAATCAGCTTGAGCCAATCTCACTTGGAAAGTAAACATGCATTCGGCCCACCACACTAAAGAATTATTGTGGTATAATTTCTTTCTAATTATCATAGAATTCTGGGATAGATTGTATGACGAGGGACTGCAACTTCCGGGCTGAGAATTGTAAGATGCCCTTCCTAAGTTGCAAATCTCAGGATTCCATTGGAAGGAATCATGACAGTTAGAGTGAAATACAGTAAAGTCTCGCTTATCCAATCTTTGCTCATCCAACTTTCTGTATTATCCAATGCAGACCAGGGTGGGAGAAAGAAAGAACCCTTGTCTGTTTTGGTACTAAATTCGTAAATAAGTAATTAATAATGTTACCTTGTATTGAACTGCTTTTTCTGCCAATTTGTTGTTTTGGTGCTTAATTTGTAAAATCATAATGTAATCATAACGTAATTTGATGTTTAATAGGCTTTTCCTTAATCCCTCCTTATTATCAAACATTTTTGCTTACCCAACGTCCTGCCAGCCTGTTTATGTTGGATAAGCAAGACTCTGTTGTAATAACACAATGATAATTCTGTATGGTGGATGGGATCCTGGTTAATACTTGGATAGGAAACCACTGGGAATTTCTAGTTCGAGTTGGGAAAAGGTTCCACCTGAAATTTTTGAGAACTGAAGATATTGCACTATGTCAGCATTTCTCAACCTGGGGGTCAGGACCCCGGGTGGGGGGGGGGGTCAGGGGGGTTTCAGAGGGTTCGCCAAAGACCATCAGAAAATCACAGCATTTTCACAGTATTAAGGGTTCTGCGTGGGAAGCTTGTCCCAATTTTCTTGTTGGTGGGGTTCAGAATGCTCTGTGATTGTAGGTGAAATATAAATCCCAGCAACTACAACTCCCAAATGTCAAGCTCTATTTTCCCAAAATTCCACCACTGTTCACATTTGGGCATATTGAGTATTTGTGCCAATATTTGGTCCAGATCCATCATTGTTTGAGCCCAAATGCTCTCTGGAGGTTGGTGAACTATAACTCCCAAACTCAACTATAACTCCCAAACTCAACCCACCAAACCCTACCAGTATTTTCTGTAGGCCATGTGTGCCAAGGCTGGTTCAATTCCATCGTTGGTGGAGTTCAGAATGTTCTTTGATTGTAGGCGAACTATAAATCCCAGCAACTACAACTCCCAAGTGACAAAATCAATCCCCCCATTTCTTCCTAGTTTGGTCCAGTGAGTAAAAATACATTCTGCATGTCTATTTCCATTACAAAACATTACAGTAGCTAAATTACAGTTATAAAGTAGCAATGAAAATAATGTTATGGTTGGGGGTCACCACAACATGAGAAACTGGATTAAGGGGTCGTGGCACTTGGAAGGTTGAGAGACACTGGACTATGTGGACCAATTTCCTAAGTCATTACTTTAAACTTTTTATATTTCATCTGAACCACTGCCAATATCTGAAATATTAATGACACACTAGTCCATTTGGAACTATAGGGGGTGTTTGGTAAGTAGCAACACAATTTTATTAGCCACCCAACAACAGCAGATGTATTAAATTTGGTTTTGTATCATTTCTCTTTTGGGGATGGGGAGCTGTCGATTTCTATTAATGCTATAACAAATTACTAATTTTGTATTTTAAATTTTTTCAATGTATTCCAGACTTGTTCTTTTTGTTTTGGTATATATGGGAATGTAAATACGCATATGTATTTTTTCTCTCTCTTTCAGTTTGGTAACAACAATAACTACATGAACATGGCAGAGGCAAATAATGCCTTTCTTGCAGCAAATGAGGTAGGTGTTGGATGTCTTCTCTCTCCCTTTTCTCCATCTGTATTCCAATTTTCCTGTTTGCTTTGATAATTTTTACAGACTTTCAATGGATGATGGGCAAAGTGCTTGAATTTTGTATGTGTTTTATGAAGCACAAAATAAAGACTTTAATGAGAGAGAAAATAACCTGACAGCTCTCCATTACCAGTCAATTTAGCTGTCCGCAAGACTGTTACTTACATAGCATGTCAACAGAAACAAATCTGATACACACACACACACACACAGAGACGCACACACATGAGAGTGAGCAAGAGTGGAGGGGAAAAAAAGAAAGGCGAGTGGGGAAAAAAAACAGAGAAAAAGAGGGGGGAAATGTAAGCAGAAGGAAACAAATGAAAGGCGCAGTAGGTGCACATCTTTAAACCAAATGGAGTAGCAGTCATTATAAGCTAATGCACTAATTATGGTCATGGATACAAACATTTTATTTTTAATTTGGGTTCTTAACTGTATTAGGAAAACAAAGGAGAGGCGGCACAGTCGGTGGTGTCGTTTGTTTTCTGGGAAGGCTTTTAGCGGAGAGTGTCCAACTTCAGGCTTGAAAGAAAGAGGAGTGCAAAAAGAAAACATTACCACTAAATTGATGGGGTCTGACTAGGTCACAGAGGTGATGAATTTGGCCTCTAGCTGGGAAGAGTTTGGGGATAGTAAGAAGAGTGTGACAACCATGGCGTCCCTGTGGTTGTTCTTACAGTGATTTGTCCTCCCTCCCAACACCTCCAACCCATGACAACCAGTTAAGGAACATCAGTATAATGGTAGTGACATCCCTTCTGGAATGAGCTGCTTTTTTGGACCAAAGCAAATATCCCTTCCAATTGACAGCAAAAGAGTATTTTTGGCATTGCCCCATGATTAGCCTGCCTCTTCCCTTCTCCTTGTTGTGTTTGCATTAAGAACAAGAATGTCTCTGGTTGGGAATAGTTATCCGACTTAAGGAGAACAGCATGCACACCAATGTTGTGAGATTAATCAAAACGTTGACAATATTCACCTTTTCATGTCAGATCCGTCATTTTTATTTAATGCATGCTTTCCTCATAGGGTGTACAAACTGTAGGTGGAAAAATTAATTGGAAAACATATATAGTGAAGCCTGGTTGTATTCTATATAGTATTTTTAGCAGTAAAAAATATGGCTGCCTGTTTTTCTCTTTTTCCTCTCTCTGTCTTTCTTCCCTCCTTCCAACAAGACTGCTTAGATAAGGGAAGATTGCTTGGCACTTGCTTCAGTGTTAGTTCTGATAATGAACACAAACCCCCATCTGTAATGACAACATGATGTTTCATTCTGTAGAATTTCATTCCTCTATTTGAATCAAACATTGATGAAAGCTCCACTGCCAGCAGCTGTTCAAAGACAATTTAATTCCAGCTGTGATAATTCACCGTGTCAGACATTGGCTGTTATATGTTGATACAACAGCTCTCCAGATTTGCATTTTTATCAAAAGGAACAAATGTTTTGAACATTTCAGTGCAGATGGCATTTAACCACACACACACTTTTTGTTGAGTGTTGGTGGGGTGAGGGCTTTTTTTTTGTCCCCAAAAGGAATCTAAGAGAGAAATGTATGAAAAGTTAATAGTACTTAAAATTACGATTGGTAGCATCACCCTTTTGAAAACATTACATTTTTTCGGGCTGTAACGGTAGCTTTCTCCACTGTCAAATTACGTGACATTGCAAGGCACTCCTTAGGATGTGAATAGTCCCAATGATTTGCAATAAGACTATTTCACCATGAGGTCCTCCCTCCCCATTAAGGCGACATTCATTTTATCCACTTATCCATGCATTACTTTCAGCAATCATCCCATGAGATGTAGTCAGAGGCCCCCAGTTCTTCTCTTTCTTCTCCTTTCTCCGAAAAACACCCATTGGCATTTGTGAGACAATTTTCCACTGCAACCAAAATGCTTGTAAGGAGATATTACTACCATGATAAATATTGCTTCTGGAGAACATGCTGCAGTATCGTATAATTTTGCCGTACGTGCCTTGAAAGCGGGAGAGATTTGCTGTTATTTGTTTGAATGGAAAACTTCCCTTCTCCAAATTAAGCCTGCCGTCTCCTTGCTATCATGCTTAAAGCCTATACTAGTGGTTTTAATTACACCGAAGGAGTAGGAGACAAGCGAGTGTTAATATTTGCACTGCAGGTTGAGCCTAACTTTGCAATTACTCCCCTACAGGTAAATTCAATTACCCAGCACAATTACAAGTGAACCTCAGTGTTTTGTGTGTGGACATCTCAAATGGGAAAACCAATTTTGCTCCTTTGAAAACAAAGCCCTGTGGTGGTTACGGTGCTATTAGCATGAGCGGACCATCCGAGTTGAGAAATTGACATGTCAAGCTTTTTGGTTACGACGCCTTTCTCTGTGCAATATTGTGTGGCGGTGACCTGGTTTCTGTTTTATTTCATTCCAGGAGCACCTTAAATATTTATTGAAATAATATTTCAAGTGTTAATTACTGCGGTAATGAAAACAGCCAAATGCCACATATCAGGAATGAGTGTTTATCCATATTGTTAATGTGATATGTTAGATTTCATTAAGCAGTAATGGGGTAGCAAATGAGTCGCAAATTACCATTGCATCTGTTACTAGACCACATTAGTGCCAAACTTAACTGCAAATGTAGCCATAGGGTTATGTTCATTAGCCATCCGCCTTCCATGGCCAATCCATCCTTTCTCGTGTTGGCGGACCCTAACTCCCCCCAGTATAAAAATGCCCCCTCTTTTATTTTCATTTATAAAACATCCATAAATATCTTTATAATGAAGGACAATGCTTCCAAAGCTAGAATTAAGTTGCAATCGGTCTCCCTCTCTGTCTCTGAAGACCATGTTGTTCCTACAGACTGTTAACTGTCTGTTAACTCGTCATTTCTGGTGTGAGACCAATAATGACAGCTGACAGGTTTTATATGCAAGTGAAGGATCTCCCCCTCCCTTTTCTTGTGTTTCAGTTTCCATTTTCTCTCAAGCGGTTATTAATTTATATCATCATTAACAGTTTGAAGGATGACAATTTCCAGCACTTAATGAGATCTTTCACCGAACATATCATTTTAAAATTAACTGGCATTAAGTCGTTCTTTTTAGATAATGTAAATAACTCAAAGAGGGGCAGTCCCTTTGCTGTTTTCCTGAACCCCAATCTCTCATCTTGGCAGGAAAAAAAATATGTAGGTTTTATATAAACAAACAAAACTAGAAGCACCATGATGTTCCTGACATCACATTGGCTTTAATTCAGACAGTTAGATGTTTTGTTTTATTTTGCCTATAGCTCTCATCAGCTCTAAATAATACAACTGTTGGTGAGGAATTATAGGAGTCGGGATCCAAAACAAAGAGATGCAACTTTTTTCCTCTCAATTTTCTCCTGGTGGTAGTATTCACTCCCGCAAGGGAGGGAAGGTTGGCCACAGCAACGTGAGATGGGTACAGCTAGTATATATAACGACTTGTACACGGATTTGTTTTGGCCATTTGCCTTCGACTTCTTCAGCCTTGCTGGATTGCCATAACGGCAAGAGCATGGACGCCATGTTTTTTCACCTGAAGTGGCCCATGTGGCTACTAGGCGTGGCTACTTCCTTTCTATTCAGGAGCACATGGCACGTGGTGAGGCTGCCATGGGCTCACACAGAGTTTCCTTGTGAACTCTGCCTGTTGGGCCAATAGAAGTAGAACAAGACCATGATGTGTCTAACATAAGATGTGTCTATTGCATGGGACGAGCACCTCCATTGCTCAGTTGCGTCTCGACCCTGAGAGGTTCTGCTTCAGTCTGATTGCCTTACCTTGCCGCTCACTCGTAGCTCTGCTTTAGTTTTTGGCTTGGCTTCTAGCATTGAATCTTTTTTTTTTATTTTCATTTATTTTCTTGATTCTTTTAATTTAGTGGAACTGGGAGTCGGAAAGTACGGGTCGGTGCGTCCGTGCATTTGGGGTCTTGGGAGAAATGACAGAGCATCTCTTGGGTGGGCGGATGTGCTTTTCTTTAAAAACATTAGAGTGGATCTCAGTCACTTTTTAGCTTTTTCTCTCCTTGCCTTATATTTTTTTCTCCTCCCTCCCCTCCTACAGAAAAAAAACCCCTTTAAAAGATCAATAATAATAATAATAATAATAATAATAATAATAATAATAATAATAATAATTCCAGCAAACAGCATAGCCTCATTCTCAGAAAACTACTACCTACCTACCTACCTAAACTTACTACCAATACCTATAATTTCATTCCTTTGCAAACAAGTTCTCTCTGTTGTTTATATATGCTCCCTGCCTTCTTAATTTCATTTAATAATAATAGTTTGGCTGTGGCTGCCTAGTAATAATAATAATAAAACTATTGGGCTTTTGTGGAAACTTTCCCAAGCCAACAGAACCCATCCTCCCTCTCTAACTCCAGCTTCCATCAGGAGATAAAAGACTACTGTTGTTAATACTATTCAAACGAAGTGTACCAGCAAACATCACCACCAACCCAAGTTCTACCAGCCTTCCTCTACCACTCCTATATTGTGCAATCTCTCTGCCTTCTTAATTTCAATTAATAATAATCATCATTGTTTGGCTGTTGTGGAAGTGCATCTTTGACATTTAGCAAGAAGGAATGCTACCCGATTGCTGCTCCTGGAGAAGTTACATGGTGGGGACAATGGGGGATACCTTTTTGGGAATTTTTTAAAAAGTAGATATTATTGCTAAAAAGAAAAATCCTAAAAATCAAGGGATGACCTAAATGTTATGAAACTTGGTGGGCCAGCAGTGGTAGATGTTCCTTTGTGGGATTAATATAACTCAAAAACCACTGGACGAATTGACAACAAATTTGGACACAATACACCTCTCAGGCCAACAAGTGACCATCACTTATAAAAACACTGAAAAACACAACGGAAGGGGCTTAAAATGCCGAAAAACAAAAAATACATTGCAACGCATGTACAAAACCACATATATATATATACACAAACACACACATATATGCACACATATATACACACAAAACTCATATACACAGACTGGGTCACAGCAATGACCATCACTGTATGTGTGTATATACACACACATAAACATGCATGTACACACCCACCCACACACCCACACCCACCCACACACACACACACATTTTGATATACAAGTAGACTCCCAATTACAAACATATAACTTACATATGACTCCTAGTTACAATTGGTGGTAAGACAGCAGGAAGTGAGAGGAATCTACCCCTTGGAAGGGAAATTCACTCTTGGAAAAGTTATCATGAGAAAAAGATGTCTCTTCTGAAGCTTTATCACCAATCGTTGTTTCCAAGTGAGGTGGAATCTTCTGAACAAAAGCACAGATACCAAAACAAACACCACATGGGTGTTAACCCTTCCCTATGCTATCCAAAGCTAGTTTGGTTGGTTACATTTAAAAATGTATCTGTTTTGACTTACATACAAATTCAACTTAAGAACAAACCTACATAGCCTATTTTGTTCATAACCTGAGGACTGCTTGTATATTATATATGTATACACTAGCCGTTCCCTGCCACGCATTGCTGTGGCCCACATGAGGGTTTTGTGTGGGAGGTTTGGCCCAATTCTTTCGTTGTAGGGGTTCAGAATGCTCTGTGATTGTAGGTGAACTATGAATCCCAGCAACTACAACTTCCAAATGTAAAGATTCTATTTTCCCCAAACTCCACCAGTGTTCACATGTGGGCATAGTTTGGTTCAGATCCATCATTGTTTGAGTCCACAGTGATCTCTGGATGTAGGTGAACTACAACTCCAAAACCAAAGGACACTGCCCACCAAACCTTTCCAGTACTTTCTGTTGGTCATGGGAGAACTGTGTGCCAAGTTTGGTTCAATTCCATCGTTGGTGGGGTTCTGAATGCTCTTTGATTGTAGGTGAAATATAAATCCCAGCAACTACAACTCCCAAATGACAAAATCATTTTTTTTGAGTGAAGGATATACATTGGGTTGTTAGGTGTCTTTTGTCCAAATGTGGTGTCAATTCCCCCAGTGGTTTTTGAGTTCTGTGAATACCACAAATGAACATTACATTTTTAACGGCGCTCCATGCAGTCATGCCGGCCACATGACCTTGGAGGTGTCTACAGACAACGCTGGCTCTTCGGCTTAGAAATGGAGATGAGCACCACACCCCAGAGTCAGACATGACTGGACTTAACGTCAGGGGACTACCTTTACCTATGTGTGGTTATGGCTTTAGGGCTCACATGGCACATCTTATATGTCTGCTTAGTAGTGCCCCTTTTGGAAAGCAACCCTATATTGGGGTCCCAGTAGCAGCAGAAACAGCATTTGCTTGATAGTAGTCTGCTATGGAAGGCAAAAGGAAGAGGGGCCGACCAAGGGCAAGATGGATGGATGGCATCCTTGAAGTGACTGGACTGACCTTGAGGGAGCTGGGGGTGGTAACGGCCGACAGGGAGCTCTGGCGTGGGCTGGTCCATGAGGTCACGAAGAGTCGGAGACGACTGAACGAATGAACAACAAGTCTGCTATGTGGTAAGAGAAACAGAGGGTCAACTGTATTACCATTGATGGTGGGCACTGTACCCCAGTATTGCATCTTTCCACTTAATAACACCATGTGCCGATCACAGCCCGATTAATGTTGTGTGTGTACTACCAGAATTGCCAGCCTTTTATTGAGGCATCCAAATAATGAGTTAGCTCTGTGTGCTCTTTTTTCTAAGATATCAATAAACTGGCAATTTGTTATACAGCCAGAAAAACCCTCTTCCTAAAAAGCAATGCAATGTAGCTGATGTTCAATCCCAACAACAAAGACAGATGTTGCTAATTAAGTGTGCATTAAAAAACAGTTAATACCGATACACCATTAAAGCCATATGATAATGAGACTTAAATCTTTAATCTGAAGGATCCATAAAACTGGGCATATGTGAATCTTGCTACACTTGTGAGATATATGTATCTAAGGTTTGCTACTGAGTTAAATTACACAGAGAGCCATTTTATTGGGCACATTGAATATACAGCAGTGTTCTATAAATTCTTCTTTTCTTTTTTTTCAAGCAAACCTTCCATACTCCAAGCCTTGGTGACGAAGAGTTTGAGATTCCTCCAATTACGCCGCCCCCAGAACTGGACCCCACCAGCCTAGGGATGGCAGATATACTCCTCCCTTTTCAAGGTCTAAGTGACCAGTTGGCTGCACAAGGGAATGAGTTTACTCCCCAGTTTCCACCACAGAGCCTGGACCTTCCTTCCATCACGATATCTCGAAACCTTGTGGAACAAGATGGGGTCATCCAAAGCAATGGATTACACATGGTAGGAAATGTTCCTTCTATCTTTTGATTGTTTAAATAAATCATATTGCAACACAGAAATGTGGCACCATGGACCGAATCAAACTTTCTCACTTTTTCTTCCGATTATCTTCTAACATGCACGAAGAACTAACAATCATGTGGTATTTATTTATTTACAGTATTTATATTCCACCCTTCTCACCCCACAGGGGACTCAGGGCGGATTGTAATGTACATATACATGGCAAACATTCATTGCCATAGACACGAAACATATATAGACAGACACTCAGAGGCTATTAACTTTCCAGCTTCTGGCCACTAGGGGAGCTGTCACTTCCTCATTCTTTTGCATACTTCCTGGAGATTTTTATGGCCTCGTAAATCAGTTAATTTAGCCTCGCCACAAAGTGGTACCAAATTTTCCTACTTGACAGATGCAACTGTCTTTCAACAAGCTACACAATTTTGGTCGGGAGCTCACTCCGACCCGGGCTGGCCTCGAACTCATGACCTTTCGGTTAGTAGTGATCTTAATGCAGCTGGCTCCCAGCCAGCTATGCCACAGTCCCGGTGCGCATTATGTTGTATTATGTTGTCCTTCCATCCAATACTAGACCAATTATACATGCCAACAAAAAATGCTTGGTGTCTTGGTTATTAGGCCCATTCCCTGGGTATTTTGGACACTAATTCAGAAAATGGCATTGGATAGACTGCATCAGCTCAAGTTTTCTTAGATATGGTTACCATGATTTTCTGTAGGTGAGCAGATGGTGACTGGCATATGGCATGTATTCTGTATCTCAAAAACTAGAGGTGACAGGGGAAAACTGGTGCCATATTTGCTACCAGGCACAATTCAAAGTGCTGGCTTTAGCCTATAAAGCCCTAAACGGTTCTGGCCCAACTTACATGTCCGAATACATCTCCCCTTATGAACCATCTAGGATCCTGGAAGGAAGGGATAAAGTTTTCAAATTGGGAGAATTGATACTGTTTGTATTTATTTCTTCATCCAAACACAACTCTGAAAATGGTTCAGAATCCAAAACCAATTCCGCAGTTCATGACTCAGTGTAGTGAGATATGGTGAGGAAAGACCGAAGAGGTCTACCTGAGATTCTTGGAAGGTTATGACTTCAGAAACTACAGTTCTTGTGTTTGGAATTCAGAGCTGTGACCTATTTGCAAAGTGAATATCATAATAGAGGAGTCGTATCTGTTGATTAGTACTCCCAATGGGTATTGAACTCGTGTAGAAGCCGAGCTACCTAAAAGGTGGAAAATTGCAGAGTCAGAATGACTACTATAAGGGCATTCATGTCACCCTCTCAACTAGATTTCAGTGGGATTTCATCCTAGTTGATTCAACTAGGCGTTATATGTTTTCTACATGGAACATTTCTGAAACTGTTGATTTCAGATTCATTGTGGTCCCATCTACACTGCTATATAATGCCATTTGAAACTACATTATATGACCAGTATAGGCTCATATGGAGCCGGTGGCGCAGTGGATTAAACTGCTGAGCTGCTGAACTTGCTACCCGAAAGTTTGCAGGTTTGAATCCGGGGAGCGGCGTGAGCTCTCGCTGTTAGCCCCAGCCCCTGCCAACCTAGCAGTTCGAAAACATGCAAATGTGAGTAGATCAATAGGTACACTCCAGTGGGAAGGTAACAATGCTCTGTGCAGTCATGCCGGCTACATGACCTTGGAGATGTCTATGGATAACGCCAGCTCTTTGGCTTAGAAATGGAGATGAACACCAACCCCCAGAGTTGGACACGAATGGACTTAATGTCAGGGGAAACCTTTATTTTTATCTTTATTGGCTCATATAAATGCAGTATATAGAACACAGATATCTATTACTAAGATACAAAAGTATTATGTTATTGTTGTTGAAACTTCAAATATGATGTCATATGACAGGTTTATTACTTACTAGCCGTCCCCTGCCACACGTAGCTGTGGCCCAGTCTGTGTATATGCATTTTGTGTGTGTATATATGTGTTTATATATTCACAAACACACACAAATATACACATATACACACATACATATACATACACACATATGCACATGCACACACAAATATACATATATACTACTCACATATACATGCACATATATATATATACACACTCATGCACACACATATACATACACACATATATACACACAAATATGCATATAGACAAGTTTGCACATATACACAATATGCATGTACACATATAAATACACAAATACACAAATATATAAACACATATATACACCCATATATGTGTATGTGTGTGTGTGTATACATACATATACACACAAACACACATATATACACAAATATATACACACACATATACACGTGTGTATGAATGTGTCCATATGTATATGTATATGAGTATATGTGTATATGTATATACGGTATCTTTTTGGGGGTTTTAAGCCTGTTCCGCTGGGGTTGTGTGTGTGTGTGTGTGTGTGTGTGTGTTTAGGGGTGACGGACACTCGTTGGACTGTTAGGTGTATTGTGTCCAAATTTCATGTCAATTTGTCCAGTGGTTTTTGAGATGTTAATCCTAGAAACAAACATTACATTTTTATTTATATAGATAAACACAATATAGAGGAACAACTTCTCATTGTCATAGATAAATGTCCATATTCATGTAGATAAACATAGTAGTCCAATCTGTCTGATGATTTAAATGCAGTTTCAAACTGCATTATATATGCCAGTGTAGATGGGGCATATGCTACAGAGTGAACTAATTCTGCTCGCTGAATACCTTTGATTTGTTCCATGTGTCGACCAAAATACATTCACCCATTTTCTAGGTACAGTTACAGTCTTTGAATTCAGTGGTATGATATTTTTGCCTGCAGATATAATATTTGTACCATACCGTAATAATCTATGTTACCACAAGGAAAATAACCTGATTGTTTTCTTATTCTGATGATTTTTTGATGGAATTTAAGAGTGTTTGCAGCATAAAAGTAAATATTGCAATGCCTAATGCCTTAAGAAGAGATTCCAATGTGGCTGGGCTTTTGTGACTGGATGGCCCTTGGGATACTTTCCAACTCTATGGTAGTGTTACCTTCTTTCTCTTGGTTCAACTGCAAGCAAACAGAATAAAAAAGAAATGTCAAATGTAAATATCATGGTGGGGCGGGGGATAGCGTTGTCCAAGAAGGTCTCCCAAGTTCTCCATTTACTCCTGCTTCGGCTCCATTCTGGTATATATAATGTACATGCCAAGGATACGATGATAAATGTCTGTCATTATTTATTGAAAATGTGCACTTTATTAAACTGATAAATATTTATTAAATAATTGACTTCAACTTTAAATTGTATATTTCGCGAATTACCTTTCCTTAGAGCCATAAAAAATTTTATGATGGTAATAAAAAAAACGTGAAAGAGGCATTTTAACTACGAAATTTCATTTCATGGTCAATTGGGCTTTTACTGTATCTGGAAGAACTAAATGTGGGATCCATAAAATGATTACGATATTCGTCTACACTTGCAGAACAATTCGCGTATGCGGGAGACGTCCACTTGTCGTGTTTTATTGCATCTTTGTTGCCAAGTTGCTAATCCGTCTGGATAGACGGGCCTTCAGTGCCAAAAGAGGCAAACAGTACATTACCCAAAACAGAAACCAATGGCGTAAAATCACCTTTTAAAAACTTAATATTTTTTATTTATTTATTTATTCAAGTAGACGTACATTTGCAAGTGTTTGTTGCATACAGTGCAATACTTTCTATCTTTTAATGTTCCATAATCATTGATCTGATAATATATTTCCTTCAAGGGGTCACAGTCTACTACAGTGTTTCTCAGCCTGGTGGTCAAGACCCCTGTGTGGGTCACGAGGGGGTGTCATAGGAGTCTCCAAAGACCATCAGAAAACACAGTATTTTCTGTTGGTAATGGGGGTTCTGTGTGGGAAGTTTGGTCCAATTCTATCGTTGGTGTCCAAATGCTCTTTGATTGTAGGTGAACTATAAATCCCAGCAACTACAACTCCAAATATCAAGGTCTATTTCCCCAAAATTCCACCAGTATTCACATTTGGGCATACTGAGTATTCATGCCAAGTTTGGTTAAGATCCATCATTGTTGCTCTCTGGATGTAGGTGAACTACAACTCCAAAACTGAAGGTCAATACCCACCAAACTCTTCCAGTATTTTCAGTGAGTCATGGCAGTTCTGTGTGCCACGTATGGTTCCATTTCATTGCTGGTGGAGTTCAGAATGCTCTTCCAGAAAAGGAAAAGCCCTCTGACTTTAAAACATACCACACAATGAGTGAAGAAACAAATCCTTTTTTATTGAAGCTTAGCAAAATAGCCAGTAGAAAGAAACACTTGTAAGAAAGTAGGAAAGTTCCAAAAAATAAAAGGTCAGTAAAATGCAGTAACTCAAAGCAGTGTCCACAAAAGATATAAAAGCAATCCAAGACAGTATATAAGGAATCAACAGGATGCAAAGACAATCCAGATGCTGCTGGTCATCACCAAAAGGCTAGAAGTGTCCACAGGAACAAGACCCCTTAAACAGGATTTCCATGGCACATGAACTTGATTTCCAAATGATGCCTGATCTAACAGGTGTTCCCTTGAAGGAAACCTTATGTCCCTAAACCCAGAAACTGGTTTCTTTTTCCCACACCCTTGGCTCTTATCTGACGAAGCCTTTCGGAGTGACGTAAACCTTGAGTTTGTTGTCGGTCCTGGCCAGAGGCGGCCCTAGGTAATTTTCAACAGTAAGCAAACAGTATTTTGCCCCCCCCCCAACCAATCACTGATATATATTTTTGTTTGTCGTTGGAGTTCTGTGTGCCATATTTGGTTCAATTCCATCATTGGTGGAGTTCAGAATGCTCTTTGATTGTAGGTGAACTATACATCCCAATAACTACAACTTGCAAATATCAAGGTCTATTTCCCCCCAAGAGCACTTCAAGAGCGCCCCTGGGCAAAATCAACTATACTGCA